GGTCATCACATACAGAACAGATAAAGGAATGTCAGTCAATCGTACAGAGATTACAATATTTCTAATTGCAGTGTATTGACACTTTAGTTGAGTAACTTGAACCCATCTCCAGGTCTGCTTAGACATGTAAATTCAAGCTACTGAGAAACTATTCATGAACTCAGACCCTTATCTAGACTCTAGACATTCTGAATGACCAGGACACATGAAGCCCTCTGGGCTATCAAAAGATACTTCCTGGTAAACTGTGAATTCCAATGCCATTTTAAACAGTGACTTAGCTTGGCTGAAGGAGTACAGGATGAATTCTACACTTACAAAAGCACACAGAAGCAATACTTTTCTGACAGGATTTATCCAAATTTTCCCAACAAGATCTTGACCTTCCCCTTTGTGACAGCCTTTGAGGTACTTATAGAATGATATCACATCCCCAGGCAAGACTTCCTGGAGAAGACAATCATGCTGGGGAGAACTGAAAGCAGAAAAACAAGATGAAGACCAACTCTGAGAGGGAGGGACTCCAGGAAGGAAGCCGCAGCCTGGAATTTGCAAGAGCTGAGCAGGGCTGTCATGGATAGGATATTTTGGGGGACTTTAATTCATAGGGTCACCAAAAGTCAGAGATGACTTGATGGTGCACAACAGACACAAACCCAAAGCACATAATTGTATAAATGCCTTTTCCTGTCTCTGCCAGCTTAGAAGTACAAGAATAATGCATTAAATATGTCACAGCTTGCTGCACTCAAGCTCAGCTGCCTTGGACAACGGGCTCGGCCAAATTCCTATTCTTCTTTTGCTCCTGAGTCACCCAAACATGTCCAGGCAGGACCCTGCCTGCTTGGAGACGGTCTCTCTCCCCCAATGGCCTCTCCAGCTTCAGCACCTGAGCTTGGACTCTGGCTAAGTGCTTTACCTGCAGACCTTGCATATCCGTGGATATAAAAGGTTGTAGAGAGAAACGAGGCAGAGCGCAAGAGAGTGAGTTTGCTGTTCCCTGCTCAAAGCAAAGAACAGTTCCAGGCCAGAAGATTATTTGTACCTGCCCAGCTCTGTTGCCTGGGGCGGTGTTTTCCTGGCGTGGCTGAGCATCCGGGAGTTTCCTGCTACAGCCAGTTGCATTTGGAATCGGCACAGAGCTGCATCCCTGGGACAGACAGCCTTCCTTGGGCCAAGTTGCTGCTGCACTTCATACAGCAGCTCGGCTCTCCCCAACGAACCCAGCCACCCGAGCCAGCACTCGGAGGGGTTTGAAAGCATGCTTGTCAAATGCAGCCAGGCCAGCAGCCTCCCACACAGCAGAGCAGAGAAGCCCTCAGCCCCGTAGGTGGAAGCCTTTGCTGTCATAAAACCGACTAGTCCTTAAGGTGCCACAAGGCTCTTTGTTGCTTCACGGCCACAGATCTCTACTCTGCTGCATTTTATCAACTTGCAACACCCGGCAAAACACACAGCTACGTGGCTGAAAAGCTGGTTTTGCACAGCTGCAGCTCAGATGCAGCAGGTTCGAGGCTGAGTTGACAGCATTGGCCGGGAAGGCTGGAAAAGCCTGTTCTGAAACCCTGGAGAGTGATTCCTGCCAGTCAGTGTAAGCAGTATTGGGCTAGATGGACCAGAGGTCTGAGGAAGGCAGCTTTTTAGCTTCTGTGTGGGCATTAGGATGCATTAGCACTAGAGAAGAAATGCAGGGGCCTTTTGTGTCAGAGACCTTGCTCGTGCTAATCTCGGGAAAAGAGAATTGAAAGTGAGACAGTCTGCAGAAGTATTTTAGGAGGCATCATTGAAATCCTGTGTTTCCCCCTCTATCCCAAGTCAAAAGGGGGGATATGGGTTTGGCTGACCCTTAAAAATAATAATAAGCACCACTGAAAACCATACAATAAAGTAAAGTGATTTCCCCCAACCCAAAATGACAGGAAAACAACAGCCACAAAAAACTATACAGCATGAAGACGAGAAGGACAGAAATATCTTTACTTACCTTTGAAAGGCCATCTAGGAAGAGGCTGCACCAAAAAGGCTGTCCCACGGCATCAGGGCTACCCCAGAAAAGTCCCTGTACCTCGTTAAAGCTAATTTAGTATCTCCATAAATGGGAATTTATGGAGACCAGGCCCTTCTCAAAATGGCTTCAATTTAGGGTATGTGTATGGGGCAGGGGACCGATATAGGAAGAGACCTTCCTTGAAAGAGTGAGGTTGAGGGCCTTCCAGGTAAATAGGCATCTAGAAATGAACTGGCAGGCTCTGCAGGTGCTTCGGAACAGGTGGCCCCGCTCTGTTCTACAGTAGCTGCAGCTTCTGCCTCTCTTCAAAGGCAGTTCACAACAGCCTGATGCGCAGCCAGACCACATTATCTTTGCTGCACAGTTCCCTCAGCCCCCCAGATGATTTGTGGGCCTCCCTTTCCTGATCGGAGCCCTAATGTGTATATGGGGGGAGGTAGGGGAATTGAACCTGCAGAGGCCCCGATGTGGGTCAGCACCACCGTAGGAGGTGAAGGGTACTCTGTCCTTGTAGGGGGTGCTCTAGCCATGTGCAGACGCCCTTCTCCGGGTTCCTTCCCTGAAGGAGATTAGGAGGGTGGCTACCTGGAGAAGGGCCTTCCCTGTGGTGGCCCCCCAGATGTGGAATTCTCTCCCCAGAGAAGTTTCCCTGGCGCCGTCACTGTATTCTTTTTATTTTCCCCATGTTTTAAGACCTGACTGTTTTAATCTAGGTTTTATTGTCAGTTGAATTTTTTAGGATGCTATATTCTATATTAAGTTGCTGTATTGTTAAACCATTTTGAGACTTCGGTAGGGGCTGGTCTAGAAAAGTTTTAAATACATAAATAAGATGTGGGTGGGGGCGCCCTTTGCCATTCAAGGACCATGCCATGTGGCCTTCCCTCGTCCAACCTGGAGGTCCACAGCCACAGCTGGTGTGGTGGCCAGGCCTCCTCTGCCGTTTTGTGATGGTGTCAACAAGGGTGACTTTTAAGAACCTGTTTTTTCTGGCTGGAGCGGGGAAGGTAAATATACTTAAAATGCTTCCATTGACAATGGCGCTTGATGTCGCCTTTTCTTAGGATCGTCTCTTCTTTGTCATGGAGTTTGTGAACGGAGGTGACTTGATGTTCCACATCCAGAAATCCCGTCGTTTCGATGAAACCCGAGCCCGATTCTATGCTGCCGAAATCATCTCGGCCCTCATGTTCCTCCATGAGAAAGGCATCATTTACAGGTGAGCCACCATGATTTTTCCATTACTTTTGAGGATTTGGCCAGAAAAGGCTCCTGTGCCTTTAATAGCTACATTGGAAAGAGGAGTTTTCAGGTGTCACCAAAGTTGTCTAGAGAGCAGCTGTGCCTCCCCAGTTTCTCACCTGAGGATCTGGGTCACCTTACATGGGCCTGGGCGTCTCCTGCTATCCCCACCGTCTTTGGTAAGTCATCCAGAGCCATTGATTTGGGTTGTCTTTGTCTGCAAACAAGCCCGACGTTTCTCTCCTCCTTCCGCCACCATCCAGAGCTTCTCAACAGACATTTTGAGAACTCCCTGAAACCAAAGCACCATCACGACTCCTGGAATAAAATGGAGCTCCTTCTGCAACCCTGATGCTAAATGCATTTATTTGGAAATGAGCACCCATTGTTGCAGAACAACCCAGTCAATCACTAAAATTTGAAATTGAGCATCCTATGCCTGTCTAGCCAGCTGTTTCCTAGTTGTGAAATGTTTCTAAAAATAAGGATGTGGGGATAATCCTAGCAGGCCTCGGGATGCCGAAACCAGTCCATTTTTTTCTGGCAAGGTGTGCTGTGTGGTGTGGCTGCATTAGTGCCAAAAGGTTATGGGGCTCACCCCCACAGGACCAAAAAAAGGGAGAGAAACAGATTTTCAGATGCTAATTCCCATCAGCCCAACCACACCTCACAGGACTTCATTCCCAAGCCTCTCACCATCCTGGTTGCATGAGTGACATTCGCTTTGAACCTTGGCTGAATAGTCCGTGTGAGCCATTGATGTCCGTACGTCTCTTTCAAAGGGGAAAACGAGGCAGAGCAGGAGAGCTGATTTCCGTGCCAAGAAGTGCAACCTGTAGCAGCAGCACGGCCTCCACAATGCAGGGCCAGTGGTTGTGAGCTCAGGTGTGAAAACAAGGGCATCCCGCCTCTTCCTTGACGACAGATCAGGGGACGCACCGTTCTCTTTGCAGCGCAAGCTGGACCTGCAGCATCTCATTAACAGCCAGCCCCTGCGCTCTTTTTTATCCAAGCCATTTGAATAACTTTTCTGCAGCAGCAGCTTTTGCCTGCAGATGTGAAGCAAAAGGCAGCACGCTGTGGCCATAGTGAGCCTCTGGCAAGGGAGAAAGAGCTCTCCCTCGGATGCTGGAGTGGCATCTCACTCCCGCTTCCTCTCTCGCGAAGAAATGCCAAGCCCCAAAGGAGAGGAGGTGCCCGAGATGCAGCAACTCGCTTTCTCCTTCAAATAGCCACTGCCAGTGGCTGTTAACATCCAGTTCCTCCCTCCAGAAAAGCTCTGCATACGCAGCTCTGAACACCCGGGGCCTCCTCTTTTCCCTCCGAGAATCTCAGAGAATAAACTTCTTTATTCCTAGGAGCCCTTCAGCAGGCGCACTGGCACATGTACCAAGTATCACTATAAATGTCTAAAAGGAAACGGAGGGTGGGATTGTCAGGGATGATGGGATTGTGGTCTTGCAGATGGGATTGTCTTACAACGGATGATGGGATTGTTGTCTTGCAGACAAATGGGCCACAATAAGAGGATTTTGTTCAGATTGTTGCTGCTTGTTAGAGCCGATTGTTGAATCTTGAGTTTGGGTCATTTTTATGATGGGCTGGAAGAATGTGTTCAACTCTTGCTGGCACTGTGACATTTTCTTGTTTTGTAAACTGTGTTTTATACAACAAATGAATTATATAGTGATTGACATCACAACACATATCGAGAATAATAACAAAAGAATGTCTGTCTGTCCGTCCACCTATCAGCTCCACAGTCAGGACGGGAAAACCTAGACTCTTGAAAGTTGGCTCGCATCTTCAGCTAGTGGTGTGCACCTTGAACTTACACTGATTTTAAAAGGCATTAATTATTTTAATTGATTTTCATGCATCCATGTTGTTGAAGCCTGCAGTAACATTTTCGGCCACTAGGAGCAGACTTCCCTACCCAGTATATGGCTTTGCAGTCCATACAGTTGGAAGTCAAAAGGGAATAGTAGCCCAAGTGACAGAGTTATAAGCCTGCTCCCTTCCTGATGATGTGGGGCAGCCTCTTGTAGAGTCGGAGCCTATATAGGAAAGCCCCATAGCAGAGACCATGCCTAAGCACACCAGTGGGCATGGCTGCACTCAAAGAGAACTGTGTAGGTTTGCTCGAAGACTGCCCTAGATCAAAAGTAGGGCTTTTCCACCTGCATCAAGCTGGGTCCGTTTGCTAGGGATACAGTAGAATTTATACCCAGGCTGGCTTGAGGTCCTCCATCTCTGCTGAAAAGGACTTGATGGTGATTCATTTCCTTCTCGTACCTTTGAGGAAGGCATGGCACCACTGTGTCCAGCAGCCCCGGAGAGATCTAGATCCCAAACTCACTTACGCCCATTGCTTATGTGAAAAATACAGTTTCTGGGCTGAAGCCCAAAACTCTGGGTATATACAGACCAGCAGATCCACCACTATGGATCTTCTTGCTGAGGGACACCTAATAAGCTTCCCTGGAGACCCACGATTTGGAAGTCACCACTCTGCAGTACATGCGTATTCAGCAGTAAGTCCCATGGGCTTCCATGGCGCTTCCTCCCGTAAGTGTGCCTGGGCTTGCAGTCTTACCTGGGAGCAAGTCCCACCGAGTTCCAAGGGACTTATGTTTTGCAACCCTGCCTAGACTGCACTGCATATTCATTCACTGATGCGCCACCCCTCCGGATGTGTGAGTTGGCTGGCCATCTAGGTGGAAATGCTGGATGGTGTTATTTTATTTTCTGTTCTCTGCTGCATTTGCATAGGATAACCAAAATCACCTTTTAAAAAGTCATATGCCCCAAGGCCACAGCACTCCTAATTCACATTTGCTCTCAGACTTCAGTGGACTTGCACCAATACCCTCGGCTCAAGGTTTGGTTTTTTAATCTACCAATTGTTGTTAGTCGTGAAATCAGTCGTGTCCGACCCATCGCAACCCCATGGACAACATTCCTCCAGGCCTTCCTATCTTCCACCATCCCCCGGAGTCCACTCAAGCTCACACCCACTGCCTCAGTGACTCCATCCAGCCACCTCATCCTCTGCCGCCCCCTCCTTCTTTTGCCATCTATTGTTCCCAGCATCAGGCTCTTCTCCTGTGAGTCCTTCCTTCTCATTAGGTGGCCAGAGTATTTGAGTTTCATCTTCAGGATCTGGCCTTCTACAGAGCAGCCAGGGTTGATCTCCTCTAGGACTGACCGGTTTGATCGCCTTGCGGCCCAAGGGACTCGCAGGAGTCTCCTCCAGCACCACAATTCAAAGGCCTCAATCCTTTTGTGCTCAGCCTTCCTTATGGTCCAGCTTTCACAGCCATACATTGCAACTGGGAAAACCGTAGCCTTGACTATACACACTTTTGTTGGTAGAGTGATGTCTCTGCTTTTTAGTATGCTGTCTAGATTTGCCATAGCTTTCCTCCCCAGGAGCAAGCGTCTTTTAATTTCTTGGTTGCAGTCCCCGTCTGCAGTGATCTTGGAGCCCAGGAATATAAAATCTGTCACTACCTCCATTTCTTCCCCATCTATTTGCCAGGAAGTGAGAGGACCGGATGCCATGATCTTAGTGTTCTTAATGTTAAGTTTCAAGCCAACTTTTGCTCATAGCTTCATTGAGCTATGCAAGCCCCTTCACCACAACAAGGCAGTGAAGGAGAATCTAGCAATTAAATGGTTTTAAAGTCAACACAGAGGACTTCTTCACTTGCTCCCCCAAGTGTGTACCGTGTTTGCATTCTGTGGGTTGACAAGACATGCCACCTCTCTGGGCTGATTTCCTTGAATGGTTAACTCCTCCAGTTCAGCAGCTGTCTTGCTTGGCATAGTCTTTGACCTGGCAAGGCCCTGCTCATTAATCTCAGGGCTTCATGATTTTATGAGGGATGTGCTTTTTACCTACAGGCTCATAAAGGTGGTGCTTGAGCTGGAGCCACTAACATTTAGAAAGTGGCTGCGTTTTAATGCAGATGGATAAAGGGAAGTGAGATTGCAGGTGTAGCTTTTCATGCATTCAGAAATGAAAATGATATTGAGTGAGAAGCTAGAGAGGAAATATGAAAACTGAATTCAGGAAATCACCCTTTCTGTGTGATAGTCATATGTAATCTTCCTCTCCTCTTCGGTGCTGTTTAGTTTGGTATTTTGCTCTGCAGCAGTGGACTGTCATCTCGCCCTGACGCATGTTTCACTGGAAACCTAAAGCATGACCAAGGGCATTGAGTTTATGGCAGTTGTGGTTGGTTCTGCAGTTTATCAGCGGCTTTTCATTTGCATGGTTCCTAAGAAGCAGGACTGGAACTTGGTTAAACAGCTCTGCTCAAATGATCCTGCAAAGATGGCCACAGCTCCACTGGTTCAGTGGGGCCTATTCTAAGGAAAGTGGGGATTAGGTCACAGTCTTGCTTGATTGAGTAATCAAGTAACTGAATCTGCATCCATTTGAATAGGAGAAAAACAGTGTCTTTTGAAGGGAAAAACCTTATTTTGTTTTAGATAGTTCATGCCCACACAGACACAAACTTCTTTAAACTGGAGGTAGGAAGCACCATCACAGAAGAGCAAATCTTTCTGGATAAGTGTAACAAATAAATACTCCTTCTAAGTTGGTGCTTATCGGTTCTAGTTTTTTAAAAATACTTACAGTAAGCATAATTAACTTAAAACATGTGATGTGTTTAATTAGGGATGGTTTTTTAGTTGATGAATCAACTGATGTAACTAATGGACTAATTACTGTTGCAGACTGACTAAAAAGCATTTCACTGAGTGCAGAGTGTGGCAACCTAAATCTTACTCAAGGGGCAGCTTTATTACTTTTTAAATCAAGCAGTTGCAACAGGAGTCAGGGCATTGTGAATGGGGTTTGCACTTACCTTTCCCAACAACCCTACCCAGTAGGTCATGGCAGGATCCTTCATCCTGGCACTCCAGGGATATGGCCAAAAAGACACTATTTTGATCTGTAAGGGATAA